ATCAATGTGAAAGAGACACATCAATTGGTTGCCTTCCACACATACCCCAACCTGAGCTGGGGATCAAGCCTGCAACCAAGGTACCTTCAGCATTGAACCCCTGGCAATACCGTTGGCATTGAACCAGGACCCTTCAGTTAGCAGTCCAACACTCTACCACAGAGCCAACCCTGCTAGGGCAAGAGAGAGACTTTTTTCATTCCACTAGGGCCTCAGTTAAAATTCTTTCCCCCAAACATGCTCAATTCAGGCTCTGTATTTGCCACTAAAACAGTTCCACTGATTTTTAGCCCTGACTCAAATACAAAAAAATAAAGAAAATGCAGGACCTGAAGGGGAATTCTGCTTATTAGTAGTAAAATTCGTAACCCAATAGTGGTGTATGCCATGGGTTTATTGAAGTTCAAATTGCTCTGCTCTTTCTTTCAGATTCCCTGTTTCTTCCAGTCCACATTTGGCTGATTATTTTAATTTCAGTTTCCTTTTTGATATTATTTGTGATCATCTTGTGCTTTGGCTGTCAATGTTTCAAAAAAACAGGTAACTGCTGCAACAAGGGTGGAATCACTTAGGGCATCTCTCTTAATGTGATGCCTGAGTCGCATGGGGGGGCTTAAGCAAAGCTGTATGACATTTGGGAACGGATGCCAAGCCTTACATAGGATTATTTAGGGCTTGTTTCTCACTTTAGAAGTATTAAACTCCACACTTCTCAATTACCAACTTTCAGGGACAAGGAATTTGAGGAATGAGGTCAGTATAAATGCTTCCCTAGCTATTTAGGCCCACAGTTACTTCTGTGCCCCCAAAGGAGTACTTTCTCTTTTAGGTAAGAGTCCATTCACTCAAAATGAAGTGGATCCAACCTCTGCTTCCCTCAAAATGATTTAGTGATGAAAGAAACCTGAGTCTTGCTCTAGGATACACTTCATTTGGTCACAATCTTCTCTCCTGCACAGATTGTCATTAATGTTTAAGATACTGCCTTCATTCGAGAACTAGAACAAAACTAACATGAAAAAGAAATAGGTCTCTAAACCAACAAGCCTTTTGTAACAAGACTGTTCCTTCAGGTTTATGGCTAAACTAAATGACTATATCATCTTTCTTTATGGATATATCATTGAATGATACAGTGGCCCATCAGGTACAAGGACATCAGACTTTCTTAGGAACAGCTCTTTTTCCAAAATATGACCAAACAAAGTAGCTCATATACAGATGAGTATATGCTAGATGGAGAATGTGAATTTGGAGATTGAGTAGACAATTTAATGGAGACTAGTCAAAGGGGAAAATATAATCCATTGTGCACATTTTCCTACCGGATCCATGAAACCTGGTACCATACTATTCAATGCCTACTTTATGCTAGACATTGTGATAATCATTTTACAGAATATATCTAAATTAATCCTAAAAAGCAGTGCTGTTATTGCCACCAGTTGATAGATGAGGTTGTCATGGCTCACATCACTCATAAGTGGCAGAGCCGAGCTCGGAATGCAGATGTGTTTGGCTCCAATTCTCAAGCTCTGATCATTGAGCTTCCTGCCAGTATTTAGTTTCAGGTTTCTGCCTGCACACCTTAATGGTCTAGGAGGTTACCTGTAGCATAGCTATCATGGGAATTTCATTCACTGTGAAAAATCTAATCTACTGATACATGATATCTACCCATTATATAACAATGACGAGCTTTTCCCTGCTTCCCTATGAAAGTCTTTTAATGAACCAAGATCATAATTTTACTACAATTGAGTTTCTTTAGAAAGTACCTGATTGTTCTGGTTATCTTCCTCTGGAAAGTGATATAAATCAAGAAAAAATGGATACATATTTTAGTAATATATGGAAAAATATTTTAATCATCTCTGAATAGCTTGTAGAAATGAGCCCTTGACAGTGGGATTCAAGCTCAAACATGTAAGTATGTTTAGAGTCTGTGGATACAAGACAGATTTTTCTTTCAGCAAACTCAGTGTCGCCACAGCTACATCTGGTCAGTCCCACACTCCTCAGAATCCCCAGAAATCTGATGAAGATTCCTAAGGCCTCTTTCCAGTCCCCCAGGCACATGAATCTTGTGCTAGGTTAGGTGGTGAGAACTAGGAATGGAAACTCCTCTTAGCCCTATTAGTCTACAAGTGCAATCTTACCAGGCCTTGCCACCACCCACAAACTAAACTCACAAGCTGAGTCTTACCTAGGTTGAGAGGGCATGGGCAATGACTATGCTTTTTTGATAATGGTCCTTAGGTCAGTGATGCTCCCAACTTCTGCATTCCTCATTAATTAATTCCAACTCTCTCTGTTCTAGTGTTTTGGATTCGCCTCATTTACTCGTTGAACTCAATTTTTGGTNAGCTTAGATGTGACTTCATTCACTTGTTGAACTCAATTGCTGCTCAAGCCATGTGCTTTGTATGCTTTTGTCTAATGCTCAGTATATATCTGATATTCCGGATAAGAGGTAAATGGGGTCAGTAGTGGGTGACTCTCCCTTTTCCTGGAAATCTGTTTCCTGGGGTTTTGTTTGGCCAAAGCTGTGTGGCTTTCTCATCACCACCAGGAAGATCAGTGGTTTGGGCGGCATCTCAGAGGACCAAATTCCAACACTAAGGTTGTCGTGGGTGTCAAGGACTGAAGGTTCTATAACTGCTGCCGATGTTCTCAGCTGTGCTTAAGGACATTGAACTTTGTGCTACAAGGAGGAAAAACATTCTGGCTCCAGAAAATATGGTTGGGTCCAACCACTCATTTCCTTTACTGGGGTGTACCTTCATGACTCTAGGTCAATGGTTCTTGTCTATTTGGGGCTTAGCATCTATATTGAATACACAGTGTCAGATACAAATGTTTTCCATCTGAGAGTAATTTTCACATATACCTCTTCATTACATGCAATTTCAGAAGGTTATGAAACATTGAAATCCTTCCTTGGACCTGTTGTGTATGAAATGTGGCTATCACTTAAAGTTGATAGATTAATATAATAATATTCAAAAATGTTATTCTGATACTTGACAGTTCTTAATTATTTAAAGAATTCTAAGGAAATGTATATACAGGATAATTGCCATCAAACAAGGCAAAAAAA